ACAGCCCTTTTAACCCCTCCCCAGAAACGCAGAGGAATTTTAATAGAAGGAGCACGAGACTGTCGCAGCTTTCATTGCCACCAAAGTCGCCCCCTTTAGTGGTGCTGACAATTTCTTCTGAGGCTTAGAAAGGCTTTGGGCAGTGAGAGGAGGTAGAAGCAGAGCAGAGGCTGTTTTGAAATCCTTGCTGGAGAATTAGAAAAAAAATAAATAAACCAACCCCAAACCACGAGCTCGATCTCCTCCAATGAAAGAGGTACCACAGGGTGTAGGCAGGTTGCCAGGCGAGCTCGGCAGCGTGACCGCACTGCATTGAGTTTCTTTAATGAAAGCCAGGAAAGAACACATTACACAGTGTTTCTTCTGAGAGCCAGCGAGCCTCCAGTGATTGAAATCAATAAAAACAGTCGGCAAGGGGCCCAGTGGGGGAAGAGAGAAATCTCCACTACAGCATTCAGTTTGCTTTCCACTTTCTCCCTCCCCCTCTAAAGTTAAACTCCGAAGATCACCATGACAAGCTGCTTCGCTTCCAGCGCTGGGAAGACGCTGGTGGGGATTTAAAGGAAGCGAGCGCTTTCCTTCGCCTCCCTGCCTTCGCTCTGCCCCCAGCGCGAAGGAAATGAAAGGCTTGTTCGGAATTTGAATCCCGCCTGGAAAAAAACTTCATTGGACAAGTGCATCGCTCTGCATTTCAGGAAAGGGATGGATTTTACGGTCAGAGAATGCTAAAAGGTGAGAGGGGGAAGAGAAGCAGGAATCTGATCCAGCCGGAGCCCACGGGCAGGGTAGGATGTCCAAGCCGGCGGAGGGGATCTCTGGAGCTGCGGGAAGGGCTGCGAGCAAGTGCCTGAGATCATCCACATCCTGAGGCACCTGGAACGCTGAACACGTGACGGACACGCCGAGCCAGGTAAGCAGAGCCCGCTTCTGACAGTGCCGTGTCCGCGTCCGAAAGCCCAGACCCTTGTGCTGCAGCCCGCACAGTCTGCCCCACGTCCGCCCTCGTTAACCTCGGGCGACTTAACGCTAAGCTTGTCCCGTCTGAGAACCGTGTCAGGCCACTAATCCTCCCTGAACTATAAACCGTGCACAAAAGCCCTTTGTTTGCCCGTTTGGTGGTGGATTTGCGAGCTGACAAGGTAGGACAGGGCCATTGCGTAAGCGCAGCCCCCCCAGGAGCCGCCGCTCCACGCGGGCCCGCTCGGAGCGGGGGAAGGCGGCGGACACCGCACTGCTGCGATCTGACACACGGCCACTAATGGATTTCTAATATGGCCCATATTTATCTATTTTATTTATGTACTTTAATCACCATAGCAGCCACATACAGAACATACTTGCAGCGAGTTCCGTGCGCTGCTCGGCACCACGACTCGCAGCAGCGTGCATGCACCGGGGCTAGGCTGGTTGTTTTGTCAAAAAGAACTTGGCAATTAGTTGTTAAAACAGCCAAGGGGGATTTCTGGCACGTTGTTTAGGAAAGACCGACGCAGGTTTATGCAGCACGTGTGTTACTTGCCGTTATCCTAATGCAAACAAGCTTTATCCCCAATAAAAATGGGGAAGGCACAGATAACAGCCGTAGATCACCACATTCTACTCAAGTTTTTGGCCAACTTCAGATGATTTACGTAGACCTCAGTGAGACACAGAGAGTGAAATCAAAGCCTGCCTTCCGCAAGGCAAGCAGAAATAATGATAGCTACATCTCTTCTCCAGCAGAGGCAGGAATTCAGTGGGACAGATAATAAATAGGTGCCTGTGGAGCAAGAGCAACAATGCTTGTCCCCCTCATGCTGGTCATCATGAGATGTTGACAGCAACACACATGCTCACTGCTGGAGAGGGACTGGATTCCACTTAAATGTTTCAGATCCTCTTTATCCCCAGCCTGTAGGGTACAGAGTCTGAAGGTAGAGAGACTTCCCAGTATTTCCAGCTCAGTACCAGCAGACAGAATGCATGAATTTAGTATAGCAAGTGCAGATGTGCATCTGCAGGTGCAGTGTTGCTCTTTCCTTGGAAAACACACACTTTTAAAGGGTCATTTTGTTATTCTCATGTCACGCAGAAATGGATGACTCACCCACTTAAAGAATGACCTGGAGAGCACCCCCGTGGGCAAAAGTAAAGGGCATAAGTTGAAGCATGAAGTGTTCTAATAAAGCTGTGAAAATAGCTGAGGCAGTACTTAAATAGTAGGAAGTTTCTAGACTAATTTATTAATCCATGTTTTGAACTTTTCACACAAAACGATCACAAAATTATAGCTGAAGGTGTAATTAAAAACAATAATTTACAATAAAAAAGCAAAGTTATGATTCATAATAGAACAGGACCCTGCATTAAGTTCTGTGCATACCCACAGTTCATTTTGCAGAGTCAGTTCTCTGTTTTGCCTCCCCTGCACAGATCCTTTGCAGAAATGACAGCACCTTCATAGCTCAGGAATCACAGCAATCATTCCCACACCAATCAACAAGTCTGCACTGCTCTTGGAGCTAAATTTATCCTTATGCAGAGGAACTCATTAAAGTCTTTATTTAACATTTCAGACAAGGAAAGCTTAGGTGGGACTTACACAACATATCGCTTGTACTGACATCTCAACCTCAAGTGACACTCCTCCCCATTACTCCCTCAGCAGAAATATAAATACTGTCTTTAAAGTGCAGGATATTTTTGTTCATTGCGATGTATTTTGCAGAAGCCAAGTGGCATGAGTGACCACTGTTAATGGAATATGTTCTTTTCAAACCCACAACATAGAAAGAGACCTATTTTCTCTATGAGAAGTTGTGATCAAATACAGATATTCTAGCAGTCACACCAGAGTTTTTCAGTCATGTCTCTGTTAATAAAGCAAATTCTGTGCACAGTGACCTGTTCTTCACACTCTCCCTCTGGAAGATCTGGAAGAATCTGAGTTGGGTACAACAGAAAAGAACTATTGGGAACCAATTTCTCATGTTTCTACCAGACTTGGAGGTCCCATATAGTCAGAAGTACTTTGTCCTCAACAACGAAACACATCTTCATCACAATCAAGAGTTCCTAATAGCTCATACCAATTGTCCCTAAGCAATGCTTATTGGTAAAGAGCTTTTTGGAAAGAGTCCATTAGGTTTTGAAACAGTCAGAAAAATAGATGGAAGTATTTTAAAGGAGGAAGGACGAACACTTTGTTTTAATCTCCCCCATTTAAGTCTTTATGATGGAAAAGATCTGGGATTATGAAAAACAAGTTGAATGGCCATTCAAAAAACGCTGAAATTCAACAATAAAGGTGCAAACACCAGAGTCTGTTGAACACCTGGATAGCCTGTGTTTGGTGAAACAACATTCATGCCTGCACTGGGGGAAAAAAGAGTGTTGCCATCCTTTTCAGATGAACATGATCTGACACTTGTTGAATATGGTAAAGCTTCAAGGTGTCTCCTTTCCTATTTATACCAGTGGTTCATGTTCACAGTGCTGGACTCACTCAGCTGAGTATATTTAGTTTGCTCAGTCTCAAATTGACAGCTTCTCTGTAATGTACCCATTCTGACTTAAAAATGGAATATAATTAACATACAGCTGGAGAAGGTACATTTCTGCCATTTATGGGAAAGATTAGTAAAACTGAAGACTAAATATTAAGTAGAAAATAGATGGTTATTGATTGGTAGGAATGGTGGCTTTCCCTACAATTCGAATAGAAATTATTGTATTTGACTTAGGAAGACATTTGTGTTAAAAACAACAAGGTCAACAAAACCCATAAAAAACTTCATACCTCCTTACCAACAAGTTGCCACTGTTTTCAGTTGCAGAGTTAGCAGGATGTTTAGCTACAGGGAATGAATGTCCTGGGACATACACACTACCTCAAACACTCCATATTCTCCCAGACCTAACAGAACTTTTTTTTCCTTAATTTCTTAATAAAACCAGCACCATTTTTAGTCAGACATACCAAGATCTTTTTCAAAACCTAGCTAAATGTTCCAGAATGTGTTTCATCCATACCTACATTTATATACATTCAGCTGCACACGTAGGCAGGAACATGTAACTTTCAATTTGTGATGAACAAGACCCAAGAGAAGACACTCAAAAAACCGGAGTGGGCAGGATTAATTTCTTTAGGAGAATGTGATCATTTCATGATTCAGTCACCCTAAAATAGACACCCACAGCAGCACTCAGAACACTTGCAGCCTGTCCTGCACCTTCATTCCATCCTCAGCATGTGTCTTGCCTCTTGGTTTGCTTTACAATGGGATAAATGGTTCGAGAGACAGAGAACTGGACCCTCAGTTTGGTTGTGAAAACAGACACCTTTAAACTAAATAAGGAAGAAATGTGATGAGCATTAGTGATTTTTGCATTTGACTTCCTGCCTAGTGATAACCAGATACGGATGATTGAGATTGTGATAATTAATTTGTGTGATATGATCCTTCTTCTAAATGTATATAATTTCGACTAAGAGACCTTTGAACATCTGTATGCAGAATTTGAAAATGTTTAAAGAAACAAGTACTATAAAGCTGTACTATAAAGCTGTACTATAAAACTGTATTTCAGGCATAGTTCAGTTGCCACTGAACATTCTGTTTTAAGAAGTTCTTAAAGAAGTTCTCAAGGAGAATGGTAAAGGAGGAAATGTTTTTAAGAGCTGGCATGAATTACACAATCTAACTTTCCTTCAGGTCTGCGTGCTGCTCTTCAAATCCCCATGAGCAAGTGCAAGTGGTACTTGACATGACTGGTAGGGAGAAAGAATTTGAATTTGTTTGTAAGTTTGAAATGGTCTCCTGAAAGTTCCTTAGAAAATTCCATCCATAATTTTGAAAGTCTCTGAAAATAAAGTGCAACCCATTCCAAACCCCTATTTATTTAGCAACGCTCTACATGATTTCTGTTCTTGTGAACTCACTTGTAACTATATATCTATGATACTAACTTTTAAGCTCTCCAAATTTATCACACAGCTGAAAATACTGAAATGACATCTGGTTTTTATAGCATCAGGTGCGCCTTCATTATGCGTTTGTGAGGCAGAGCAGAAAATTGAAAAACAATTATGATTTAAGAAGCTAAATTAAAACCTGTTGACTATTTAGTAAAAATGCTCCATAAAATCTGTTCGTTTTCCAGCAGACCACACTGAAAAGTATAATTGTAAAAGCAGCACAAAACAAGGTGTTGGTAGTGTTTGCTTATTTTGGAATTAAGGCATCTAGCAAGTTATCCTAAAATAAAATTGTATTAATTTACATTTCAATAATAAGTAGCTTAAGCATATTTATAAAATAAGTACTAGAATTTACATGGATAGAATTTACAACGCATGATAGTTTTAAAGCCAGGCTTTACCTGCTGAACTTACATTTTCCATCTTTGATAAAACAAATATAAATACAATAGGAAACAACAGCTGTGCCCATGTAATTTTAAAATTAAGTACAAAACAGAGTGGATAACTTCAGATGGAATAATACATGAAATACAAGAAACTCTGGACCCACCAACGGGAGGATTAAGTTTATCACATACCTGTTCTGTTATCATGTAATTTTGCAGGGATCAAAAGAAAGTTTTAAGATAGGAACAACAAGGAACTTCTTCATGGCACACAGGGCAGCACAGGACTGGAGATGGTCATTAGAAAACGCAGATGGTCAAAGGTAAATGTTTGAGTTGTTACTGAACCAAGAGTCAACATTTCCATAGTGCATAGGGATAATGGCTACAGTGGGATTAGACTGCAGAGCTTTCAAAGTGAAGTAGTTTATGCCTGGCAGAAAAAAAAGGAGAGCAAAGGAAGAGAGAGATTAACAGCAAATGGAAGGTCCGTCTCAAGGAAAATCCTGATCTTCAAAACAAAACTTTTAAAAAATTAACTAGTCTGGAAAAAAGCCAAGGTGTCAGAATTCACTGTTGAATGGCAACAGAAAAGCTTTGTATTTCTTTTTGTAATTGCAAACAATAAAATATACTTTGCAACACAAAAATTAAGCTGCAATCAAAATGAAAATATTCTACCTTAATGAGAGACATTCCATTATTGTGAATGTGAAATGAGCAAGCAGATGTGATACTTCTCTGTTGAAGATTGAAGTAAAAGTCAATTATGTTTCCTAAAACACGTTAAATAAAATTGCAATCTGCAAAGGAAAAAAAAATCAAGTTTCAAGAAGAAATTTCCTCATCTTTTATTTTCTTTTTTTTAAACTTTCTTTAACAATTAATACTTTCCCTTGCAATACTGGGAGCTAAAATTGTACTGGAAGGTCATAAGGTGGAAAATGGAGATAAGATCTCCTGCCATGGATGCAGGAAACATGGTTACTGAAATGTGAAGTCAAGGACAACAGGAAAGACTGGAAAAGTCAGGGAAGCCAGGAAAATCAGAACCTGTTTTTCTATTAAGATAGCGAAGACAAAACATTGTACTTCCTGCACAGATTCTTCCAGATTCAGTGAGGGAACTCTTCAGTTATTTAAGGCTTTCCTAACATCTGTCACTGAGCCTTAAAAAGTTTTGACTCCAAAAATCCCAAAGCAGTTTTGAAGCACTGGCTTGTCTCCCACTGTACATGACCAACCAAGCATCCAGAAACAATAAGTGGTGCAAATTCATGACAGATTCCAACTTTCTAGTTACAGAAATTTGTCACAGCCACATTTATATAATTTAAGTACTTGATGACTTCAACGTGCCATACCTTATGAACAATAGGAATAGAAAATCTGAAATAAATACATAAAATGCATGAAACAGGGCCAGCAGCAAGGCAAGGAGAGATTGAGGTTGTGCAGAATGATGATAGACCTGGGCCCTGCAGCTTCCACACAATGGAAAGCTGAGCTTAGCCACCAAAGGAGTTCTGCAGGAGAGAAACAGAGAGCAAAGCTCCACGTAGTAGGTAATAAAAGTTTGCATAACATTTTTCAACTCCTAGCTTGTAGTTATTTAAGGGCATCTGAGAGTTTAGAAAGGTTCCATACTGTGGTTTAACTACTGTAATTAACATAATTAACAGTTCTGGTCTATGCTTTCTAATGCATAGGTGCCTGATTCAATTCTAGTTGCAGTCAGGGTTTCTAAATTTCAAGTGTTTTTAAGCACCAGCAGAACATTGTATTTCTGCATTGCTGGGGTAGGTTTGGCCAAGGGTGAGATGTGGTTAGCAATATCTGATGACTGATCTGAGATGCAATTTCATAATTACTTCAAGGATTTCTGCTGTTCTAAAGAAGGCAGTGGGAATTATTCGAACAACCAGAAAAAGAAAAGTGATATATAGTGAGAAATCACACAGCACACAAAATGGAGAGAAATGCATAAACTCTGCATACAGGAGGCCCTCACTGGCAAAATATATAGAATGTTCTTAAGTTGACAGTTTTATAACTCTAAATGGTTTTGCAAATGAAATCCAAACAAAAGAGCAGAGATGTACTCTAAATCACTCAGCAATTGGTGGTTAGAAAAACCAGCAACCACTAACTCCTGCAAACAAAAACAGTTGCCTTAGGAAAGCTTAATGAATGGGAAAGAAGTCAGAGTTTTTGTTGTTCTTCTTTCAGCTTTATTTTTCTATATTCCTGAATCTATACACATAATGATTCAGTTCACCCTGACAAATACTGTATAACCGACTATCAATCAAGCAACTTTTTATATGTTGAGAGCAGTCAGATACCGAGTGATAAAGTGAGTTCAGGCAGAGGGCATATGTTAAGCAGCTGTGAGTCCTTTACTCTGTCTGTAACCTAAAAGCTTAATGTCATTACACAGAGCTCTGATTTCTTCCTTGCCTGCCTTACACTAGAATACCCACATTATATGCAATAGAGATTATTAACTTAATGGAAGAAATACAGCCACATAGTGACTGCAGTGGAAAAAACAATGTGCTTATAAATTAGATGGAGCATATTCTGCTTACAGTGAAAGATTACACAACCAAATGTTTCTGTTTAGGCTCTAAAGAAAGCTTTACATTTATGAATAAAAATCTCAGGTAATAGTTTTAGCAACAATTTAAACCTGCATAAGTCAGTACTGCTGCCAAAAGACACACTCTCCATCTTCTCCCACCTCTTCCTTGGCACAAGTGTTTGCACAGTTTTGTAAACCCATTTGGGTGAAAATTACCTCTCTGCCCTTCACAAATGTTACTTTAATACCAAATCAGTTTGTTAATTTGATTCACTGTGAACATTTCTGCCAGCAAAAGGAGGAGGTGATAGAAAGGTGGAAGCAAGCGGATGTGCAGCTTGTGGGATCCCATCTTTTGCACCCTCTGGCTGAAGACACCATTCCTTAAAATAAACTTAAGTGTAAAATATGCAACGTTGCTATGTGTATCCTACCTTTTACATATTGGGGTGATGAACTGCAGCTTGTCAACTCTCAAATTACCACGGATCGTTTGGTATTTGTTGCCCTTTAATAGCATCTTGCATTGCTGTTTTGGGCTTTCAGTTATTTCCCTCTAAATTCAAAGTTACGGTAGAGGTCTAGTAAAGGCAGAAAGCACAATTTTTGCTTCCAAGGGCCTGAATTCAGGTGTTTCATATTATTAAAAAAAAATTGTAATTTTGATTTCTTGCAGATGCAAACAAGTAAATTTAAAAACTGGCAATAGACAACCAGTATAGCAATTAATGTCTTACAGTGTACAGGACCCACATTTCCACATTGCTGAGAGTACTCATATAAAAGAGAAGTTCCCCTCTGTTCCTCTCAGGTGAGCTGCTGGTTCAGTTAGTTTCTCCTCTGGCTGATGTTCTGTGGCTGCTGGAGCTGAGAGCTGTGATGTGTAGTGTTTCACTGTCCAGCACAGACACTGATTTCCTGCCCATCAGAAACTCCAGGGAACAAACAGGCAGCTCCCACTGGAGCTCTCAAGGGTTTGTAGCCATTTCAAGGTGCAGCTCCAGTGAGAAGATGCTGGTTTGCTTCCTGCAGTGTCGAATGAGCAGGAAAATCCCCTTCACTCACTACCTACACACCAATGCTCAATAAACACACCAGAAACAAGTCTTCTGTGGCAAAAATTAATGGATTTGCTTGCTCATTCTGGAGTGGGTAATGGTAGCAGTCAATTACTGAACTGCTCCATCAGTTTAACAGATGATGAGTTCAAAATGAAATTTCACTTGTATCATTTAGCTAATTAAACAAATAAATGCTGCCATCCAATAATAACTCATACCCATAACTTCATTAAAATATCTAATATAATAAAGAAAATAGGTTATCTTCATATAGAGTACAAATAAAAACATATTGCAAGATGTGGTCAAGGCAGTTAAAGAACAGCATGTGTTGCCATCCTCTGTCCTTCCCTTTGCATTTCCTTTTGGACTTGCATCACAACATTCAGTTCAGCAATGACTCAAAGCAAGTGGCCTGTTAGGAATTAAGCTCCAGCAACCTTTTAAAAAGCCTCATAATTCTGTAAACAGAACATCCAATCATCACCCAAGTCTGTAAGCTCACAGTGGGCACACACTGTGACAGGAGACACTGCCAGCAGAAGGAACAGAGCAATTGTAAGAATCAAAGGTGATTTTGAAATCTTACTGCCAAAATTTTAATTTGGTCTATTTAAAACTTGTCTTCATAGGTAGCATGTGAAAATGTCTTTGACGTGCCTATGTGTCTCTGAGTCCACTCCTGTTATTAGCTAATTAGTAAGAATATCTTACCCTACAAGTGTGAAAAAGGAGTTTTCACCTTCTACTTCCAGAGCAGAAAGAGGAATGGTATCTAATACCAGTGATTCAAACACTGCCAGGATCTTAAAGCACAGCCATTGAGCTAGAACCTAATGAGACATCTAAATTGAGAATTTCCACCTGGGAGCTGTGTTTATTTAGTGTCAGGACAGACTGTTCTACTTTCTGAACCCACACACATGTTTATCTCAAATTCAAACTAATGTTCAACTATCAAGTTATGTTTCTGCCAAACATATATATCTATATATTTCAGCCAATCAGTGTATCTACAGAAGTCAGGACTTAAATTTGATACAGTGGTGTGACTTTCTCATAAATAGAAGGGTAAAATCAAAAGAGGGTGAACTTCCACAGTTCAGTTGTTTCATGAAGAACTAAAAAAAAAAAAAAAAACCTAAACTTTTGTCTGACTTATTTTCATGGAAAGGGTCTTTTATTTTGACCACAGTACTTAGGGTCACAGAGAAGTGTTCAGGTACAAAATGTCTAATTGTTCAAACATTTGGTTAATTTGTTTTCTAAACCTAAAGCAATATTTGATCAGTTGAACAAATACTTGAAATGCATTTGGCTAGTTATCTATTTAGAAAGAGAACAAATTTATTTAAAAGGGTTTCTTTTACCCTTTGGTCACCACAGAACAAAAGTTAGATTGAGCTCACAAGATTGTAGGATTTTTTAATGTTTTTTTTTTAACCTGGTCTCAGATTCAATGTCCTAAGAGATTTTTGCTGTCATACAACCAGTGATAACACGAAATGTTTTAGGAATAGGAGTGCCTTAACAGGAAAAGACACACATGCTGTAAGAACTGATACAGCAGAACTCTCTTCCTTTACCACTTAAGTAAGCAGAGCTGGTTCAGGATGTCTGTGTCATTTATGTAAAAGGAACACGCATTTGACAGTAGGAGCATGCATATT